ACCCCACCGCGACCGCAAACTTTGGCATTGGAAACGGCCGCACTTGCCCGAATAGGGAACTTGAAAGGCCAGGTCCGAAAAAGGAAACTTCCGTAGGGGCACCGGTCCATGGCCTTCCATTGTGGCTGTACGCAGGTCCAAAAAATGGTCCCCTCCACCGCTGCGTGGACCATGCCGTCTGGCCCTCTGATGCCATCGGAGAACATGCCCCCCCCCTTACTGTGCTGGGGGCCATGTTTGGAAAAGGAATGCTGCGATCGGGCAGCGATTTTCCAGACCACCGACCATGTAGAAACGCCCCGTCAGCATTTTGGCAACCCCTTTCCATCACCGGTCGGGTCTGGAAAACCTTTCCAAAGAGGCTTTCCACACCTCTTTCCATCACCGGTGGGGGCTCCAAAACGATCGGGCGCTTTTTTTTTCCCAAGCCGCCGTCCGGTGGGGTCCACCTCTTAGTCAACAGAGGCAACCAATGATCCCATCAGCCAGCCATCTTCCTGGAAAAATCAGCAAGGCCCATGCAAAGCTGCCCTATCCTAAAAAAAAAAACAAAAAAAACTTGGCGGAGCATTTTTCCATGTTCTAGGGGGAGATTCATTCTCATTTTGCACATTGGCGAGTAGTGGAGTGAAAAAAAACAAAAAGGGAAAAGTTTGTAATGCCCCTGAAGTTTGCATTTATTTGTGATTCGCCCGTCCGATGGCTGACTTACCCTGACATGCCCCTGGCCCTCTGAACTTTCGTGCAGGCCCCTGTCAACGAGGGGCACAAGTTTTTGGAATGCCCCTACGGGGCCGGCGGTCCCATTTCCCCTGCTGCCTGTCCGATTTGCCCTTCTGAGATGCCCTCCTGCAGGGAGGCACTGACAATTGGAATTCAAACCCCATACTTTTCCAGGCTGCCGGCAAAAAAAAGGGATGCAGTCCATGTAATCCACCTTGTAGTGCATTCTTCAGCTACTGCGACCCACTGCCGCCTTGGACATAGGCCGTGTACATTGGCGAAGGTCAGTGTTCCTCCCCTTGTTCCACGCCTCTCTCTCTCTCTCTCTCTCTCTCTCTCTCTCTCTCTCTCTCTCTCTCTCTCTCTCTCACACACACACA